CATTAATTGCATCCGTGAAGAAGACAGAATTGTTAATTACGCAATTGATGATTTCTTCTGTTTATTGTGTAAGAAATGATGAAATTAAAATATATAAAAATGATTAGACTATAGAGTTAGGTTAGTATAGAGTTATATGAAATTGCATATCAAAATAGTAATTAAATTACTTAAGTTGTTTTATTTATGATCACAGCTTCAAAACACAATTTTTAACCACACCAGTAATGCATTTAATATATTATTTGACTTTAAATTTAATTTATTCATGCATAACTGACAGTCCGCAGTCTGTTTCAAAGTGGGACGGCATTTTGTGTTTTACTCAGGTATTTAATTTATATATTTAATGTATGAGAAGTAAACGTACTTTATATATGTAAACAATCCATTCATCGTGGAAGTCAGAACTTGTATCTTCATCATAGCTTTTCATCTCAAGTTGTTAGTTCATGACATTTCACTCCATACCATATTTATACACCAATAAATTTTCCAAAGCAATATTGTTGTGTATATAAACCCTTATAACTGTAAATAAATAAAATTAATACACTATCAATTATTATGATACGAGTACTTACTAATTTAAGCTGTATGTGCTGAGTGTCGTGTTTTTTTTGTTGACGAAATATAGCGATAAATTTCATTCCTAAAAAAGACAGAATTGATAATTATGAAATCAATTATTTCTACTGTTTTCTTTGTAAATGAAAATATATAGAAATTATTACCCTATAGAGTTAACTAAAGCACGCTACAAATTGCATATCAAAATTCTAGTTAAATTATTTGAGTTAGTTTTTTATGGACATTTTCATTAGATCTTAATTATTGAGAAGTTAAAAACATTACCCAAGACGCAATAAGATAAATAATAGATAACGACTAATGTCTGGTACAGTATGTCTGAATAAGTTATATAAGACAACTTCAGTAGAACATGTAGCCTAATATTAAACACGTTGAGAAAAAAACATGGTATTGTCAAATTGCTATAGTATTATTTTTAATTTGTTCTAAGTTATTTGAAGAAATTAGCACAAAGTAAGTATGTAGGTTAGGTTAGTAGGTATGTATAAATTACTATACATAGAAAGGTTAGGTAAAGGTTATTTAATTTATTTATAGTTTATTCATTATATTTAATGTTAACTGGTTTTGTAACGGTAACTTGTAACAAAAGATAAGCACAACCTAGCAGTAACAGTCATTTCATCACAATCATCTCATATAGTTTAAAAACACAATTTGTAACCACACCAGTAATACATTTAATTTATTATCTGACTTTTAATTCAATTTATTCATGCATAACTGACTTGTCCGCAGTCTGATATTTCAAGTGAAACGGCAATGAGTGTTTTGATTTGTTTGATTTATATTTAATGTACAAGAATAATTACTCACTATGAAAAAAAATTGATGTTAATCTATCGATCCATTCAATATAGAAATCAGAACTGATATTCCCATTGCATTTTTGTATTTCAAGTTGTTAGTTCATCACATTTCACCCGATATCATAATCATAAACAAATCATACAGTAACTATTAAATTATTTATGAAACCGTATCCAAAAACTTGGAAGGCACCATTTTCTTGATAAGTTGTCGATTACGTACTATCTGAAATCACACAAAAAAGTAAATCATATTATATTATTATCTTTGTTTTAATCTGGACAGTGTTCATCCGGGGGCGGACAGTAACCCTTGTACTAAGTAAAATATAGGGAATTACAATGACAATCATGGGGAATAAGAATTTAATGCATACTGTGAATACTAATTTACAAAATATTAATTAAAATGTTTATAAATTAAAACAGACAAATTTTATTATAATAATCATTAAAATTAGGTACTGTTTTAAATTTAAATTTTGAATATTGTATTCTACGGGAAAACTCACTAATGATTAAAACAATAACTATCCATCTAATAATGTATTACCTTATTAAAATAAAATGTAGTTAAAAGTTGATATACTGTTGTTTATCATAACTTACCAATGATACAATATTGTAATATTGCAACACTACACAACTTCCGTATTTTACATTATAAGACTTTAAAAGTGATTGTTATAGGTAGTAATAACTTGAGGTTCACGGTTCAGTCACACTTTGTTTTTTCAATGGTTTGTCGTCTCCCTTGATTGCCAATATCGCATCTAGAAATATTTAAACATTAATGTAAAATAAAATCTACAAAATGAAGGTTTATGGAATACATCCTGCTAGTTACAATTAATACCTTAGAAATAACTTTTATTTTTTTCAAAAAATTGTAAGTCTCATAGAAATATGTTGTATTTTTATTGATGTATTTTTAAATGGTTTTCTCTAGCATTTGCTGTTTGGTACTTTACAAGAATTAAAAACGTAAACAATTTTATCTATAACATTAATTGTACATGTACTCTAAGTGTAATTTACCCAATGCTAAGTGAGTGCTCATTCCAGCGGCTTTCACTAAAAATCTATGACTGCAAAATATATTCACATTTTTTCCTTGATTTATGTGTGCATGAGTAAGCTTAGAAACAAATTTTCTGTTTGCTCATTGACAAATGCTTTTACATTTACCGAAATTTTTAACAACTTTTTTATGGCATATATTATGCCAGCTTCCAGACACAAATAAGCCATCTTTCAGAAGTGAACAACACAAATGAGTCTTGAATAACATCTCATCAGCACATAAGGTTAGGTTTGAAGAGTTTCAAGAGCTTCAGTTTGAAAGTTAGACATTTTTAACTTGAAAAGTTAAAATAAAAAATCATATAATCCAGGGGTTATTTCATATTTAAGGCAACTCTTGTTCTTACTTATGGACAAATGAAAGGTAGATTGTTAACGCTAATTATTTCGGTATTCGTTTAGTATGTGACCTAAAGAGTTAAAATCGAGTTTAGTATGTGACCTACCAAGACGATTATCTATATTATGTACGGGTACTGATCTATTAACAGGTAAGATGAATTTTTGAAATTTAAGTAAAATACAAAAAGTGTATTTCTAAAAATATAATTTAAATAAAATAAAACTCTTTTATAACAACATAATTTTATGAAATCTATTGAATAGTTTTGACATACCTATTGCTGTTATAGGTACCTATGTGTCTTCATTCATTTTGTTTAACTCATTTTGACATTGTTAAATGTAATCCTGCATTATTTTATATTTGTATATTGTATTACTAATATATTAGTTAAATAATTATTAACATAATTTTATGATTTTTAATTTAACTGTTTTTAAATTAATTAATGGTTCTGTGGATCATATACTAAATGAATACCCAATACGGTAGGTCACGCGGTCTGGTAGGTCACATACTAAACGAATACCATTATTTCATATAATTTGTGTACTTGTCCATAAGGGTTTCTCGTGTTGCATATTGTTTGAGATTGTACTACTGGGTGACAACAAATGTTTTTCACACACCGAGATAAAATTGAGTTTCTTTCTCATCCTTCAATTGTTGGCGTACAAAACATTTCTGGTTATTTGTTCAGACCAAACCGACGAACCTAAATCATATTTATATAATTTTAGTAATCATACAAATTATATACACAGTGTGATCATGATAAGTGGAAACACTCAATAACCATGTGCAGGCTTTATGTATTTCAATTCTGCCTTTTTTGCAGACTAGTAAACAGTATTGTACACATTATAAAATAATTACACCATAATGGTAACAAGAATGATTCTTGTGACAGTTAATTTTGCGAATGTGCACAATATTTTTTTTTTTAAATGGCACGACCCATCTTTGACCACAAACTAATTTTCTTTGTATTTTTTAATTTATTTTAGTGGTTGAATTTCTTTTTTAAGTTAAAAAATGACCGAGTTATAGTAATCTGATTTTATGTTAACTTCGTATTTTATAATCTGTTTTACCCATGTATAAATAATTTGTGGTCAAAGATAGGTCTGTGCCATTTAAAGTAAAAAAAATATTGTGCACATTCACAAAATTAATTGTCACAAGAATCATTCTTGTTACCATTATGGTATAATTATTTTATAATGTGTACAATACTGTTTACTAGTCAGCCAAAAAAGCAGAATCGAAATACATGAAGCCTGCACATAGTTATTGAGTGTTTCCACTTATCGTTATCACACTGTACACAGTTTAATAAAATTGTTTGATTAATGTAAATATCTAGATTTTTCACTATGGAAATTATGATTATGTTCCAGTAGTCAATACCATCATGTATTCCTAGACAAAATTTAAAAATATTATATTAAATATTTATTATAAATGGATCTCTATAAGAAATATTAAAAATCATATTGACTTACCAGGTAAACAAGTTAATGGTAGAGCTAAAATGTTTAGTGTACTTAGATTTCATTAATAAAAAAACCCTTCTTTGTCAATCGTGATTTGTTAAACGTTGATAACAAATTATTAAATATAATTATGGTTATGGTCAGCAGCTGGTACTGTTACCAATTTAAATATTGTACATTTGAGGTTATGTTTATAGATTTTATTCTAATCATGATTTAAGATATTACAATCTTATAGCGTTTTCCATCAGTTGACTGCACCAGTGTCCAGTCGACACCATGAATTTTGGCGGTGTAGAAAATTATAGGATACTGTGATTATGGTATCAGTTTTCGCGTGTAGTGTGGGGTTGCTACTACTGCCACGATATTATAATGCTCCGAACATATTACTCCGAATCACGGACTACGAGAGGATCGAGAGCAAAATTCAGCGACCAATCAGAAAGTAAGGATTATTATCATATTATCATATAATTATTAAGAAACATATATTACCCGCGCATTTTTAAATATATTTTAAATTATTTATTATTTATTTATTTATTATATTTTTTTGTATGGGATGACATAGAAACAATATTATCATATTATTATAATAGCATTATCATAATACAACGACGCGTATAATTGTGTTTATTCGTTGCCTTTTATTTTATAAATGTTGTAAGTATAATGTCGTCTTCGTCTTCACTTATGTGCAATATATGTAAAAAAGTTTTTGGGTACCATCGGAATTTAGTAGCACATAGAAAGAAGTGTGGCAGTGGAATCGTTGAAGAAAACATCAATAAAAAATCAATAAAATGTCCAGACAATAAATGTGGACAATTATTCAGTGGATATGCATTGCTACGAAAACATGTTGAAGAGTACCACAAAATCGTTCTAACAAAAGAACATATTTATTTTAAAACTCTAAATGGTATGTAAAATAGGTATTAATAATATCTTATTTATCAAATAAATCTTTTAGAGTCATGGTTATATCACCTTTTATTTTATTATTCATTAATTATTTAAATATTGCAAGTATCTATTAATTGCCAAAATTAAAAAAATGTTTATACCACTAAACTATAGACACAATATAAATCTGTTAAATAAAAGTTCCCCCTTTTATTATAATATTGATAATGCTTAATGGAGATTTTATATTATACTTACTAATAATGTGTACTGTATAGTGTGAAAACCATTCTTTAATTAAGCTGCTGCTTAATTGTCTAGGTAGGTAGGTAGTGTAAATATAGTCTCTAAGATTCATTGGCAGGTAATCATAATTAATAGGATTCTGTGGAGTCTAATGAATATGCTAAGTAGGTATAATGTAAATAATATGCGCTTTCTTATATTATTTAATGTTATTATTGGTATATTACATAGAAATATATTAAATTTTTATCATAAAGCTGTAGGTATGTTATATAATTATTAACAAATACATATTTGAATATATGGTTATAAGGTTTACAGAGAAAATATTTATGCAGAAAATGTATGGATGATAATTGATAATTTATTAATAATAAGCATTAAGAATTACTTATTTCCAAATTGCTTAGTTGCTTATGAATAACTATATTAAATTTCTTTTGGAAAATAAATTAATAATTAAATTGAAATGAACACTTGCTTCGATTATCTAAACCCTAATATTGGAATTCAAAAAATGAAATCTTCTAAACTAAAAACAATTAGAAATGAAAATTTTTAATAGAAAATACAATAGTGACTTTTCTATTATTGTTAAATAATTATTAGATTGATCAATATTTTTGGTTTGGTTTTTACTAATTTGTATTATGGACGTGTAAATGTGTAGTATATTTGGTTCAATTTCTGATGCCGGAGTGCTGTTAAAAATGTGAACAGTACAGTATTATAAAAGATACTTTTAAAATTGCATATAAATACAGATACCAATACATTCATTCAGAAAGTATTATGAATACTTAATTCAACAAGTATTTACTTAAATACTTTACCATACTGGACTACAGTGTAATTTAATCTAAGAATTAAATAAAATGAATACCTGAATATTCACTAAGTAGGTATATAATTTTTTGCAGATTTTAAGGAATGGAAACAGAAGGTTGAAAAAGAAAATGTTTGTTCATATGTTACAAAATCAACAGCTAATATAAAAAATGCAAAACGAACTTATTACCATTGTCATCGTAGTGGATACTTTAGTAGTAAATCACGTGGGATTAAGCGTATCAAAAGCCAAGGAAGTAATAAGATAGGATCAACATGTACGTCTTCAATGGTAAATACTAATTGTGATTCTACCTAAAATGGACATCTAGATTCTAGATGTCTATAAACTAAATAAGTATTGTATTACTATTTAGGTGGTGACGGAAGATGCTAATGGAATAAATGTTGATTATAGTAGCACCCATTTTGGGCATGGGTCTAATTTAGGTAGATGTAGGTTAACTGCCGATGAACGTTCAATGATAGCAGGTAATAGACTTTATTAGACAAGTTTTAAATATTTCCTTACAGCTATTGTATAATATACCTAATAAATTATAAATCAGTAGCACCATTTCAGTTTTAACATATGGCCTCCAAGTATTGGGCAGGCTGATTTTGGTCTAACAAGCCACATGGAAAATTTTAAATAATTAGAAATTGTAAAATTGACAGATTTAGACGATACCCCCAAATCATCCCCTCCCTCCCAAAAGTTAACAGGAGAACTTCTCCTGGATCTGTATCTGCATATATGTATGGCTAAGATTATTATTTGTGTTAGCATCATTATATACTTTACTATAAATAAAAATTAACTCAATTGTTCTACTCAAAGAAAAAAGTAATAGTAATAATAAAGTATAATATAATGGTCGGTTTAATAGTTAAATATCATAAAAGGTTAAACAATATTTTTTTTTGTACATTACACATGATAAATACTAAAAAGGTGGACTTGTTGGTACACTCTGCTGTATAGGAGTTGATGAGCATATCATTTTAATGGATGTGTTAAATTTATATTTGAACTCAATGATAAATTATTGTATACAAACCGATTCTGAGTGGAGACATTGTGGCATACTTGAATAATTAATCAAATTGAATAGTTAAAAAGTTTTTTATAAAAATCTAAAATATCTCATGGCTATAATAATAGGGTGACTTTCCAGTAAACCCTTTCTTTTTAATAGAGGTAAAAATTTGTTGGGAACCTTCGATAAGAATTTCGATTGTTAGCTATGAAAGGAAAAATTTAAATGAATTTCTAACTGAAAAATAGTTTACACATTTTTGAAATTTTGCAAAATATGAACTTTAAATGCATATAATAAATACTTGTGCCTGTGAATCATAAATATTTTTGAACTTACATAAATGAAATTTATAATGAACCTTATTTTAATTTTCCAAACTTATTTACTAAGTGTAAAAGTTTTTAGAGAGAATAGTTTTTAAACAAATTTACAAATTTCTAAAAATTTCTCAAGGCTATAACTAGCTCAAAAATAGTCAAAATATTTTTAAATAGTTACTATTCATTATAAATATTTTGTGATGATTTCAAATGTCTACAGTTATTATTTTTTAAGTTACACCAATAGAATTTTTGAAAAATTGGGTTTTCTTAAAAATTATCACATATTTTTTAAATTTTTTACTTTTTTTCTTGACGCTTTCTAAAACTTCTTCAGTTTTTCAATTTTTACCTCCCAAAATACCAACAAGATTCACTTTTCTATCAGAAAAGCTGCTGTTCTCGAATATCAGAGCATTTTTACTATCCAAAATGTTACTGAAAGATAGAAAAAAAATACTCATCATTGTAAAATCAATAAATTCTTTAACTCCGATCAGTATCTAAAATTTAAAACATTTAACGAAAAAACCCTTGTATAAGAAACAAATTTATTTAAAAAAATACTTATTCAAAAAAGTACTCAATTCTTTAATTTTTGTTGTAGGAAAAATCTCAGAAGGAGTTAGCTTTTCAAAAATTTTGGACGATATTAGAAATAATGTTCAAAGTATTTATGATGTCACCACTGTTATTTCAAAGAGAGATTTACGAAATGTTGAAAGGGATTTCAATTTAGTTGAGGGTAAAGCTCATTCTTCAGACTATGTTAGTGTACGTATATGGATGGAAAATATGAGCAGTTTATCTGAAGAAGAAAATCCAATCATTTATTCCTATTTGGAAAATGATGATGTATTTTTGATTATCGCAACAAAGTTTCAATTAGAAATGATTCAAAAATTTGGTTATGAAAAAATCTGTGTAGACTCTACCCACGGTACCACAGAGTATGACCTTCTTCTTACTACACTAGTTGTAGTGGATGAGTATGGTAATGGATTTCCTTGTTGCTTTTGTTTTACCAAGAAAAAAGACACTAAAACATGGATCACTTTTTTTACAAAAGTTAAAGATAAAACTGGCAATATAAACACTAAGGTTTTTATGAGTGATGATGATCCAGCATTTTATAATGCTTGGTGCAATGTCATGGGTAATGCTGAACATAAACTTCTCTGTAGTTGGCATGTTGATCATTCATGGCGTAAACAAATACAGACAAAAATTAAGGGTTCATTTGAAAAGAAACCCTACGTTTATAAAACACTCAAAATTTTACAACATGAAACAAATGTGGAAGATTTTGAAAATATGTTGGCTGGAATATCTGATGAATTGAGAGATGACAACGATACAAAAGAATTTTATCATTACTTTCAATGTAATTATCTTAATAGAGTAGAGCAATGGGCATATTGCCATCGTAATTTATGTGGCATCAATACCAATATGTATTTGGAATCTATACATAAGACCATCAAATATTTTTATTTAAACGGAAAAAAAAATAAACGTATGGATCAATGTATAAACGCATTACTGAAGTTTATACGTGACAAGATCTTTGAAAGGTTTATTAAATTAGCCAAAAATAAATACTGCAGTAAAGAAGATAAAATTATGATGAGCCACAATGCTGCTGTTAAAATATGTGATGCCAAAATTGAACGTATGTCTCCTACAACTTGGAAAATAATTTCTACTACTGAAAAAGAATCATCCTATGATGTCAGTAAAGTACAAGAAATCTGTGTTTTAAGCAATTGTAAATTGAAATGTCGCTTATGTAATATATGTAATCATATATATACATGTGGCTGTCCAGATTTTATGATTAGATCAAATATTTGTAAACATATTCACTTAATTTTACTGTCAGAAGAGCATTCAGTTCAGACTTTTTTCACACAGCCCGATGAATCAACTGAACAGTTTGATAATTTTGAAAAACTTCTAGTGAACCAAGATATTACAGAACCTGTTGAAAAAGAAAAAAAATCAATTATTAACAAATTAATGATAGGTGTCGGTTTAATGAATTCTAATGATTATTCAATGGACGATTGCACTGATATACAGAAGAAAGTTGATTCACTTCTGAATACCATTCAAAGAAAAAAAAGGAAACTAATAGATACTAACAACATAGAGCCTTCCAATAAAAAAATTGATAAACAGCTTCGACTTGTAACAAAAAAAACTAATTGTAAATCTCAACTTCAAAATATTACTACTGAACGTGAAAAAATTGAAATAAAACAAAGTTTTAAAAATACTCCAGCAGTAGGAGCTGAACGAAAAATATTACACATCCATAATACAAATGACCATACATATTAATTATTATATTATTAATATTATATTATTATTATTATATTTTATTCTCAGATTAAATTACACTGTTATAATAAAGTAAATACTTGTACATGACGTACATGTTGATCCTATCTTATTACTTCCTTGGCTTTTAATACGCTTAATCCCACGTGATTTACTACTAAAGTATGCACTACAATGACAATGGTAATAAGTTCGTTTTGCATTTTTAATACTAGCTGTTGATTTTGTAATATATGAACAAACATTTTCTTTTTCAACCTTCTGTTTCCATTCCTTAAAATCTGCAAAAAATTATATACCTACTTAGTGAATATTCAGGTATTCATTTTATTTAATTCTTAGATTAAATTACACTGTAGTCCAGTATGGTAAAGTATTTAAGTAAATACTTGTTGAATTAAGTATTCATAATACTTTCTGAATGAATGTATTGGTATCTGTATTTATATGCAATTTTAAAAGTATCTTTTATAATACTGTACTGTTCACATTTTTAACAGCACTCCGGCATCAGAAATTGAACCAAATATACTACACATTTACACGTCCATAATACAAATTAGTAAAAACCAAACCAAAAATATTGATCAATCTAATAATTATTTAACAATAATAGAAAAGTCACTATTGTATTTTCTATTAAAAATTTTCATTTCTAATTGTTTTTAGTTTAGAAGATTTCATTTTTTGAATTCCAATATTAGGGTTTAGATAATCGAAGCAAGTGTTCATTTCAATTTAATTATTAATTTATTTTCCAAAAGAAATTTAATATAGTTATTCATAAGCAACTAAGCAATTTGGAAATAAGTAATTCTTAATGCTTATTATTAATAAATTATCAATTATCATCCATACATTTTCTGCATAAATATTTTCTCTGTAAACCTTATAACCATATATTCAAATATGTATTTGTTAATAATTATATAACATACCTACAGCTTTATGATAAAAATTTAATATATTTCTATGTAATATACCAATAATAACATTAAATAATATAAGAAAGCGCATATTATTTACATTATACCTACTTAGCATATTCATTAGACTCCACAGAATCCTATTAATTATGATTACCTGTCAATGTATCTTAGAGACTATATTTACACTACCTACCTAGACAATTAAGCAGCAGCTTAATTAAAGAATGGTTTTCACACTATACAGTACACATTATTAGTAGGTATAATATAAAATCTCCATTAACCATTATCAATATTATAATAAAGGGGGGAACTTTTATTTAGCAGATTCATTGTTAAATATATCTTCTAATGATTTAAGTAATCTAATCACCAGATTTCTAATACAAGGTTGTACAAAAAACATGGTCATATAAACTGCACAATTTAGAAAGCATAGAAGTTGATTGGGAACCAATGGCTAAAATGCAGAATGTGTACTGTGTAGGCAATTGTACTTGGGGTACAGTCAATTGGTTTGGTATCCAAGTGACTAATTTTACCACAACAAATTTCATATGACCAACTGAAGTAAATTCTTTGTACATACATTTCGTGCAATTGATTACCATTATATAAATAGAAAATTGCTGTAAGCTGAGAATAAACTAATAAAATACACAATATAAATGTACATAGGTATAAAGTAGTTGTGTATGTGTTCTAGGACGATACCTACCGTAAAATAGGTATATAATAATATGTATATAAATAAGTACCAAAAAAAAGAATATACGTAATATACGTAATATAGTATTTTTGTCAAATAACATTGTTTTTATGTCATCCCATACAAAAAAATATAATTTAATATATATTTAAAAATGCGCGGGTAATATATGTTTTTTAATAATTATATGATAATATGATAATAATCCTTACTTTCTGATTGGTCGCTGAATTTTGCTCTCGATCCTCTCGTCACGGACTAAGATATATCTTAGTCCGTGCTCCGAATGTAAAATGCCACGAATACAAGTTATCCGATTATATACAACTACGAAGGTAGATCAAACTACTCCGATATTATTAATATTATATTATTATCATTGATAAACTGTAATATCAATTGATATTACCATAATTGATAATATTAGTGTTATTAATTAATTTATTTTAATGTAAACGGGATGAACATGAAGCCAATAACAAATTAATAGTTATTACATTAGTAAACTTAAATCTATTTAGTTGACTGTAATGGCAGTAATATAAACACAAAAACAAATAAAATAATAATAATAATAATATCTTGAATAATGATACAAATAATAATATCTTAATATAATAAAAAAAAAATATTAAACAATAAATAATATAAATTATAAAATAATATATATACCTAATATAATACTTATATGTATAAAACCACTGAACCATAGGTCACAGATGATATGCAAAACATCGAATTTTGGTTGGATGATTATTATAAGAAAGTATTTAACTTGTATATTCCTATATTATAGGTTTTGAAATTGGAATATGTACTAGATTAGTGATTACGTACCTACAAGGCCCAATTATTCTATTCTGTGGCCCAAGAGGGAAATTATTCAAAGGGCCTCTCAAAAAGCATTTCTACATATTACCTACACAAATTCTAATGATCTTTCGTTGTAGTATTTCTAGTGGTCTAACAGCGTACTCATTTATACCTTTCCCTAGCCAGAGATGTAAAATTTCATGTTTTCACTGACTTGTTGAAACTTTTCAAAACAATTTAAACTTATGATTTAATTTGTTTTGTATATGATTCAATAGCTTTTTTTACACATCTAAATAATATTATAAAATTATTTAAAAATGATTTACCTATGTAATGCAACTAGTAGATGCTGGCTATCTTATTTGCATTTAAGTGGTAATCATTGAATACTAATAATAGTAATATTATTTGATACAATTAATAATAATTGTATCAAAGCGGTGTTTAATTATTTATTTTCCTAGTAATTTATAGATTTTCCAATAGAAACTAATATTAACTTTTATGACTGTACCAAACTTAGAAATCCATTCATGAAGTGATACTATATACTTAAAATAGGGAATATATTTTTCAAAAAACCTAAAAACGGTGAATGATTCCTACATTACCTGGTTAAATTAGTAACAACGCGAACGCTGGTGGCGGATCGGGGTGAGATTTCGGCCCGGGGAAATACAAAGAATAACTGCCCACTTACTAATTTACCAAATATTTAATTTTTGCCAACATAATATAATTATGTATTACTATTTTAACATAACTACAATTTTTTTAACACATTTGGCGAGATATTTAATTTATATAAAACTTTATTCGTAGTACCTATATACACATCGATATCAAATTTATTTTTATTTTTGAACAGTTTATGTTTACACATTTATAATAGTACTTATAATTACTTATAGGTACCTACCTATATAACACAGTAAAAGTGAATAATTTAAACTACTAATTTTACGATTTTTGTGTTTAATAAGAAAGGTTATTACCTATTCAATAATATTTAATAATGCGCTTTTATAATTAAATAAGAGCTTATAATTTACTTCCACTTAATATACCTGATAGGTAAATTAACAGAATCAACACGCAAAATCTATGTGTATCTTTTTATTTTCTAAAAAAATGCTATATATTACATTTGCTGTTTTTGCTTTTCGAAAAATACTATATTTTTGCTTTCTGTCACTCATCGTTGTGTCTGTACTGAATCGCGGTAAAAAAGTCCGAAGTAAAAAAGTCCTAGGAAAAAAAGTCCGAGGCATAAAAAGTCCGCCGTCAATTACACGGTGGAGTATGTCCACCACCTATAGATAATAAATATCTCTAACGTTTACAATATTATGCGAGGTGTAGGTACACCAATAATAACGAAGACCTCGAGACTACGACGACGACTAAAAAGTAAAAACTATTACTACAAAGAAGAATCAAACATTTCATATCGTCATATATTATGGTATATTTATTTTAAAAAAGAGTAATTTGGTGGTGTGGGAGACTTTGCCCCCCGCGGCTCTATTTTCTGAAATTAACTGGACCCTCCCCATGACACATTCCCAAATACGCCACTAGGGAGATTTAAATTAGCTTTAAAAATATTAAAATATGTAAACAATTATGAAGGCGTACACTGTACAATGACTACGGAGGGGCGGCATTGCATATTATATTACAGTGGCGTACACACGGGGGGGGGGGTTTTGGGTGTTCAACCCCCCCCCCCCCCCTTTAGTATTTTTTCAGTTTACGTAATAACGTAAAAATGTATAATAAAAATGATGACAATTTAAAAAAATATTATATTCCAAATTATACTCCATTATATTATAACTTATAAGCAACCCAGTTTGTTGTTATAATATATTGTAGATATTATTGATAACTTGTTACAAATTAATGAAATTATTGGTAAATTTGTTCAAACACAAACATGAGGGTCGACAATCGTGTAATCCGATATAATATGCCTTAATAGCTATCGCAGTATCGCTAATACTATAGTATAGAATCTATTTCTCAGTTTTAATCAAATTCCTGACGCTTTGGACGTTTAGTAAATTGTACTTACTGTTTAAATATTTTATAAAACAATAAAAATGAAAAGAATAAACGAATATTTTTCTAACTCACTAATTTATGATACAATTAACTCGGAGGAACCAGGTATATTTAATACATTATATTATCAATCCTAGGACCTAGGTACAAAAAAATGATTAATATGGTAAAAATAAATTTCTCTTTATACCTATCTTTTATTGAATTGTATATAATATATTATTATATACATATTGTATGTACGCGTGTAACTTTGTAGTTATACTAAATAATTACCTGTAGGTAATAGGTATATATTTTTTAAATAATAATCGAGAATTGTAAAAATATTTTTAATTTCACCTTAAGTCATTGCTAATGAGCCGATTACTCATTAATTACAAAATAATTACTATAGGTACATCGTTTTGATTCATCAATGTATTATATATATATGTATATAATTTTTTTATATGTAAGCCCCCCCATTGAAAATAGCT